TATGAATGACAAGGTATTAGTAACTGCTATGCATGAATTGTGTGCAGTATAAAAATATAATGTCCAAGTCCATTGTCCTTTAATCAGTTCAGTTCCTTGCAGTTTCACTCTGTCACCACCTGCTTTCTTCCATCCTCACCGGCTGCAATGTCTCTCTCTCGATTTCTCTATGCATGACTGATCTCAGTACCTCTGACTTGCACTCCCTCCTCATGAGTGTCAAATGGATGAGAACACAGCTGGGTCATAATCAGTATTGTCATCAAGGGGAGCATCCGCTTCACTCGAACTCCCTCCTCATCCAAGGAGTCCCTTGGATCACATCTTCTCCTTATCGAATCAGGATCAGCTCCAGGCCATCTCTGTCCTTGGGGACGTTCACACCATGTACAGGCCTCTTTCGCAAAGGGGTTTCTCCTCCTCCGGGGCACCGTCACGTACACAACATCTCTTGCTCTCACTTTGGACTCTCCATCCTTTTGGGCCTCTTTGTCCTGCAAAGAGGAAACGCAAACAACACAGACCACACAGGAGCAAATACTCCTGCACATAGTATTGACTAGTCTAACATAAAATCTAATTTCTCTATCAGGATGTCAAAACTTGTATTAACATTACAAAGTAGCACTCTATAGGCTACCCTTAAACCTCCTAACTTTAGATCGGAACAACCTTTTAGCAAATGGTAAAAATTTAAAACTAAAATATTTTTATCTGGCTTTCATCAGAAGGTGACAAGTGTGGGTTTAAGGGCAAATCTGTGACTTCTGTGGGAAAAGATTTTAACATCCATACATGCAACCCAGGGAGGGTTAACACACACTGAGCAGAAAAACGCACAAAAACTACAAGAACTATCATTTATCCATTGTCAATAAGAAGAAAAGTCTTATAAGCAGAACAATGTACTAGCATCTACTAGATCTGAATAAAGCATCTAATTTAGGGGGATTTGTCGGGTTTTCCCTATGTAATAATATTGATAACAGTAAGGTCTAGACCTTACTTTGTAAAGTGTCCTGAGATGACTTTTGTTGTGATTTGGCGCTATACAAATAAAATTTGATTTGATTTGATTTGATTTGA